AAAATTTTTTTGTATATCACTTTGTAGAGTGTTCTTAGTGGTTGCATAAATATACATATGTAATTTTTCAGTCTACTGGTATAGATGCTTTACCCCTTTGAGTGATGTGAAGAAACTTTACTTCCATTTTGGTCCCTTTATCCTCCTTACTTCTTAACTATAATTATCTTAAGCATTATCTCTAAGTATATCTCTAAGTATACCGAACCCCACATCAGATGGTGTAATCATTTTTGCAAGCATCAAGTATCATTTGAGAAACTCATGAGAAGCCTAGTCTTTTACTTTTTAGGCATTCCATAGTATTCTTTCCTTTCTGAAGTTCTAAGTTTTCTTCTGTTATTATTTCCCTTCTGTTTGGAGAACTTCCTTTAGCCATTCTTTAAGGGTAGATGTGCTAGTGACAAATTCTCTTAGTATTCCTTCATCTGACAAAATTGTTATTTCTTCTTCCTCCCTGAAATATATTTTCTCCCGGTATAGGACTTGTGATTTATAGTCCTCTTCTTTCAGCATTTGAGAAATAGGCCACTTTCTTCTGGCCTCCATGGTTTCTGATAAAAAATCTGCTGTCTTTTGAATCAGTGTTCCCTATAAATAATCCCTCCCTTCTCCCTGTATGCTTTCAAGATTTTTTTCTGTTCTTGGTTTTCAGAAGTTTAATTATGATATGTCTTGGTGTGGATTTCTTTGGGTTCCTCCTATAGGGGATTCACTCAGCTTCTTGAATCTGTAACTTTATGTTTTTTGTCAAATGGGAGAAATTTTCAGCAGTTAGTTCTTCAAACCCAGGTGGCTCTTAAGCACATTTTATATTTGAGAAGCTTTGCTCTAGAGTGGGTTTCAGGGGTCCAAGAACCCCTCAAGTTGTATATAAAATGCTGTGAATGTCCATGTTTCTTAGGAGAATGTCTGCAGCTTTCACTAGATTCTCAAGAGTTCCCTGACACACCCCATAAATTTTATGAAAGGATTGGTTTATTGCCATATTGAGTCATTTGTGGTCTTCTTGATTAAAAACAATAAAAACTACTTAGTATCATTTCTTCCCTTCTACCACATCTGTTGAATTCCTGTTTCCCAAAGATTTCCCCCACAATTTTGGAAAATATGATCACTCAGGTGAATATTTTCTGAGGGCCTAATATGTGCCAGCCACATTTTTTTTTTTTCATTTTTCCCCTAGTCAGTGAGAAAAGAGTTAAAAAAAATTAAAGCCATTTTTAGGTTTTGGAAAGTTCTTCGTAACTAAGAATTAAGAGTAAACTTTGCTGTTTTCATATCTTGTGACTTTACCCTTTAAAATCTATTCCTTACTGCTCTGAGCTGGATATGACAGTGATCACATTACATCCTGAAAGTATACTTTCATAGACTAAAGACATGCCATTATGCAGTGGACCCATTCATCATCACCACTCGGGTTTGCTTCATGTAGCCAAGCACTCCTAGTTCCCCTAAGCAGACTTGTCCCCGGACAGTTGCACAAACAGATTCCTCTGCCTAGTATAGCCTCACCCCCTTTGCCACCCACTTTCCCGAACTAACTCCTGCTTATCTTTTGGAACACAGTTGGAGAAGCACCACCTCTGGGAAGTTGGGTGTGCCTCCAATGTTACTCCTGCTTGTCAGATGCCGCACTGGGTGCTGATTACCTAACTTTCACTCCCATCAGACTCTGTGACCCTTGAAAACTGTGACTGGGTCTTACTTGCTTTTGTGCCCCCAGTGCTTAGATAAATGTAACCAGACATGTACTCAAGTGCTGCCTCCACTCAGAGTTCACTACCACCAGCTGACCGGCTGCTCCTTTCCTCCATTTCTTCATTAATGTCCGAAGTATCTGTTGAACTTCTTCATGCACAGGTGTGGCAACCAGATGTTCAGCCCTTCACCAGCAGGTTTGATTTTTGCTAAATTTGCACAGCATCTATTAATTCACTTTAGACTTTCTCCAAGGATCAACATACAAAAGTTTTGGCTTCCTTTTGCTAGAATGCCTGTCTCCCCATTTTTGGACAATATGGACAATGCTGACCACTGCCATTTTTACTTACTCCTGGATCTTACGAATTCCTTAATATTGTGTTTACATTTACAGATCTATCTTTTCTATCAGGCCATGAGCTCCTTGGGGGCAGGGACTCTGTCTTATTTATCCCAGAATTTCCAAGGCCTGGTGCACGGTAGGATTCCAGAAATGTTTGTGGAATGAAACTTGATGCTAGATCATCACAGCTATACTATTCCTCACGATTAGCACACACATTTCTACATCTTCTCCACATCTTTACTTCCTATTTGCCTTTTATCCTTCATTCTAAGCACGGTGAATTCTTTTTGGAAAGGAGAAATGGGTAGATAAATACAACACATTTTAAAGTAATTTTCTTATCCCCCCAGGTACTATCTTGGTCGCCGGATGTTTATTGTTATCTCTGAGCCAGACATGATCGAGCAGGTGTTGGTTGAGAACTTCCATAACTTTACCAACAGAATGGTATGTCGTTTTCTCTCTGCGTATGGATGAATGGGGAATCATTTTGAAGATTCAAAGACTGCACATCACATCTAATAGGGACACGATTGGGTCTCTTACCAGGTTTAGATCAGTTCCACTCAAAACACCTCTCCAATGAATTCAGGTTTTCAAAAGAGACATGCAGGACTGGTAGAAAAGAATGGCATTTGCATTCAAGAAAGACTTCAAGAAAGCTAAAACTCAAGAGAAGTTCTGGCTAATAAAAGTGCTAAAACCAGAAGGGTTTTTTTTAAAGCTTGTGCTCAAAGCTAGAGGAATCCAGAGGGTGCAGGTCAAGTGACTGAAGAAGACAGAGGAAGGTTAATAAATATCAGAGGGAAGGCAAAATTTCAAGCCTCTTGTGCTTACATCTTTCCCAGAGCATATAAAAGTCTTAAGGCTGGAAAGGGAAGACAAGCAACATTACAGGGGAAATTCGTCCTCTTGTAGCAGGAGAAGGCTGTAAGAGGGCTACCCGATGTCAGTTCAATCCAATCCACTAAAGAACGTGCACATTCCATCTTTTTTAGAAAGTACATATCCTACTTTCTATCTTTCACAAGAACTCCCAAAGAATGAAAGAGGTGACTGATAGAGGCAGACGTCAGTGTTGTCCCTATTTTACAGAGATGGGAAGGATTGGAATTCTAGCAGAGAAGACCAATAACCTTTATGTTGATTCTTGGAAAGGTTCTAAAGTGAATTAATAAGCATTTGCTTATGAGAATTCAGAGAATCACAACTTTTGGGGGGGAGGGGAGCAAATTGAACTCAACTTCCATTCTTATGGGAATAGTAGGTAATATATTCACTTTTCTTGGTTATTTGGCAAACTTTTGCACACCCACCATATGCCAGGCACTGTCTAGGTGCTGATTTTAAAGAGATAGAAGATGTGGGCTTGCCCTGAAAGAGCTTGCAGTCTAGTGACAGTGGCAGACGGGCAAAGAGACCAGTACAATATGGTCTGGTACTTGTGCTGTAGTGGGAATCGCTGTGCCATCTGGGATGGGACCAGGGGAAGGCTTATTAGATAGATCTCTGGGGCTGAGTCTTAAAGATATTAGCATAGCTCTCCTGGGTTCCGTGCTGGCTGAACCACCCAGAGTGGTTTTTTCTCATTAAATTTCATGAAAACTTAGGAGATTGGTACAATCTCTATTTTCCGGACAGGGAAACTAAGACTCAGGGGTTAAGTGACAACCCTGGTCACATGACTAACAGGAGGAAGAGCAGGGTTTCCCGTGCCACCTCCCAACTCAAGTCCTTACTGCCACCACTATTAACAGCTGCCTCGGGTGACATTTCTGATCATCAAGGTTTCACGAGTAGTTGGTTGCTCACCCCAAACGAGCTCATCTTCTGTCCCCAGAGTGTCAGGCCCAATGCCAGACACCACATGGCCACTAGAAGGAGGTGACCGCCTGGCCTGTTAATGCTGTCACCTCGGGTGGCTGAAGGAATTGCAGAAGCTTAACTTCTCTGCTGCCTCTAGATGTTCCTCCCCAAATGTGATGTTGCTTCTCTGCCATTTAGAGTCCCCTGAAGTTCTCACGTGCTGCCGGGATCTTAGGGACGGAGTCTGATGTAGCACGCAGCTCTGGCAGACTCAGTAAGGAAGGTCAATTAAAGAAATGGGGGAAGCCAGTGCATCACAGGGCCCGGACCCCCAAGCTGCGTCCCAGCAGGCGAAGGCACCTGAGCCCTCCCCGCCCCCCAGCAGTGACATGGGACGTGGTAGCCGTGTGACGTCAGGATGTCACCAGGGCACGAGACCCCGAGAGCTGACCTGGAAGACGGCTGTGCTCTAAGTGATGTGCTGGGGGGCAGGCATACACTCAGCATGCAGGTTTAAGCAGGGAGCACAAAATAAAGCTGCCTCAGCTTCAGCCAATTTCTCCTCCAAGCCAGTTGTCTGTCCTTTTTCCATCCCCCAGATTAACTTTTTGCTACTTCCCAGACTACCATCCCCAGAATATGGTTCCGTTTTCCTTCTTCCACTCCACACAGTGCCCTGGGGATAAAGTTCAAGCTCCCCAGATGAGACTGAAGGGCCTTTGTCATTTAGATCATTACATATGCTCCACCCTCCCCCAAGACGGGCTGTCGCTCCAGGTGGACGGACCCCTCCATTCTTTCTCTAACCTGCTCTAGAGAGTCCTGCCCCTGTGCCTTTGCTCATCCTGCCACACTCGCTGAACTGGAGGCAGCTAACAGCGGGTCTCACGTTTACTAGCCATGTGAGCTGGAGTAGATCATTTACCTTCTTGAAGCCTCTCATTCCTCCTTTGGAAAAGGAGCATCTGATCAACCTCACTGGGTTGCTGTGAGGCTAAATGAGATCACGCAGACAAGCCCCACCTTCTATGCAGGCGAGACAAGCGCTCCACGTGCATTAGCTGCTGTCGACAGCAAGGCCCTCCACTTCTTCTACAGCCATTCAACCCTAGCTGTTCCTCAAGGCTCTCCTCAAATGCTGCCTCCTCCAAGAAGCCTTCCCTACTTCAATCCACATTTACCTTTCCCCTTGTCTGAACCCTCATGGCATTTGTCACGTACAGAGACATCATCATCATCACTGACCCCATGGTGCCTTCTGCTATTTACAGTTAAACAAAGGTGTGGCTATCATGCTAACTTGATTATTAGCTCCTTCAGAGTCTATGTCTTTTGAATACCTCATGGCCCAAACACACGATGACTATTCAGTACCCAATATATTCTTGTTCACACCGAAGTGAATCTCCATCAACTTAACATCCTCCCCAGAAGAACCATTCTCTGCTACCTGAACCTGGAGATTCGATCCACACTTCCTCTTCTAGATCATTCACAAACATGTAAAAAGACCCATCAAAGATGAGATCTCTAGGAAACCCCAATGTTTATAGTTTTCCATCTGGGAATGTATTCATTTATCTTTAGCTTTGTTTATGGTCTTTAAGCCAATTCCATATTCATGACAAAACAATCCTTAGTGACTCAATTTTTTAAAAACCATCTTTAGAGTGGGATTTTCTCACAGGTTTTTGAAAGTCAAATTAAATCGGGTTCTGTGGTTCCCTCTTATCCATATGCTTATTTATCTGCTCAAAGAACTCAAGGAGATTAGTGAGGCGTGCTTTCTTCATACTGACACCATGCTGCCTTCCCTCTAATAAGCCATGTTTACTTAAGTGTTCAGCAATTCAGCTTTATTATACATTCATTCAGTAAACATTAAATGCTTACTCCATGCAAGCTTCCACCAAATGGTCCCTTGTGACACAGAAAATACCTCAGCATATTAGTCTGATACATTAAGTGAGAAGGAACTTAAATAACGCATGGTTTCATTTTTCAACTGTGAGAGCCCATCTCTGCTCACAAATCCAGGCTTGACTTACACGTGTCCCAGAACAGCCTGGTGCAGAATGGCTGTGATAGGGGAAGCTGGGTTTGGCTCTAGAATTTGCTGTTTAGCTGTAAGCATCCCGTGAGGGACTGACGGAGCCGAGCGGCCGGAGGTGGAGTGACACCACAGGGAACTCGCTGACACACATCTGAACGGAGCAAATATTTGAATTCAAACTTGTTGAGTGAAATATTTTTTCCACCTCGAGAAGCCTGGGCTGAAGACACTGTGACTCAGACCCGGGGTGGCAGTTCTGGTATCTTGCCTTCCCACTCGCCTTCCTTGAGGCCCTCACTTCCGCGTGGTGTCCCGGCCGCGTCCTGCCCCTTCTCCACGTGGGCTCCGTGGGCCGCTATCACAGCCCTCAGCACTTCCTGAAGTACCTTCGTGGGCCTGCAACCACACCTCACCGTTAAACCCAAATCAATCTTCTCGCATTTCTAGAACCTCAGTTGTCCCAGCACCTCAGGATCTGGGGGTTTTTATTTAGATATTTTTAACTAGCTCCCCTTTGCTATCGGGTACTCAACGAAGCCATGGGGCAGCCTTTTTTTTTTTTAAGTATCTGTGGAAACTGGAGCTGGGCTCACGTGACTCCACAGAAATGGTCAGAACCAGCAGTGGGACTTCTTATTCCTGGCCTCCCCTCAGGGCCTGGAGTCGGGGAAGCTGTGGGAAGGTTGATAAGAGGTAGAGCGGTCTGTGGTTCGTGTTAGAGTGGTGTAGTTGGATGGGGGCATGGAGACAGTGTGGTCGATCACTAAGCTGCTGCCAGGAGCTCTATGTTCTGGTCCAAAATGACAGCATGGGGCGCGGGTCAGGCCGCAGGCCTGCCCACCCCCAGTCCTGCCACTTGCGTGTGGAGCAGAGGTGAGAGGTGGTGGTGGTTGTATGTGTGTGGGGTGTGCGTTCCAGCCCTCAGGTCCTCACGGGCAACACAGGAAGAGGGGGGTCTCCCGTCCAGGCACAGGTCCAGCCCCACCACTGCCTCACGAGAGTCGCACCTCTAGCCACGTAATGGATTTGGTGAATGGCTTTATCCAGAATCATGGAGACCCAAGGGCCTGGGTTGCCGCAGCTGCTGCCTCTGCCCACACGCACGTGGGCGTCATTGGTTTCCCTGTGAAACCACAAGCTTTGGCTGCTGGCAAAGATTATGAAAGTTCTGAGGCAAATGAGTCACTGAAAACCTCGTTACCCCCAGCATCTGCTGCAGTGCCCCGTTCCAGAGAACAGGAGCGTGTGGGCTCCTGACAGAGCTCATCAGCTTGGAAAGCTCTGACCAGGGCTCCAGGAGGAGCGGGCAGCTGTGCTGGGGCCCTGGGGGCCTGCCTGCAGGATCCACAGAGCTGGGGTGGGGGGGCGCTCCGCGGGTTTGCCGTCAAATGGGCCCCCCACACCTCCGACTGGTGACAGCTTTGGGAAACTTGCTCCTCTAGAATTTCTGATTCCCTTTCCCTTAAATAAAACGTCCAGTAAATGAAAACATTCAGGTTTTCAGATGTGAGCAGTAAGATTTACGTTGTGAGAATGTCAAACCCTGAGCGCTCTTTTCAGCTTTGTGGGTTTAAGTTTTAAATCCCAG